CAACTGCCATGTATAACTATATGTGCCCTATGTAAAAAGGCAGTTTAGGTACAGGGACGGTTAATTATGCGTAAACTAGGTTATACTGACTGACACCGCCTGCAACATTCTCTCCTGCCTCATCCGGTGTCAAAACATAGTCAAGAAAACCGAAGACAAAACCGGACTTAATAATCCGTCTGTGCATACCACAGACCTGATTCGGGCAGGATGAATCGAACTTTAACAGGACCAAGAATGGGACGGTTCGGGTCGCGGCTGGGCCGGAGGGTGATGGACGGCACATAAACAGAGGGACCCTCCAATCCTGAGAGGAGCTATTTATCCCACCAATTGGCAGCCTTCCAAGCGCGCCAGATTGTTTATGCTAAGGCGATATGTAGGTGTTTTGTCAATGAGGCCTTGCTGAATGCTATCGTCGTCGTATGTTACATCACCGACTCATCAAATTCCTTTTGAGTTTTCTGCACGCGGCATCGAATTGGGTATGCTAATTAATGCATCAGCCATCCGAGTGTATAGCTTTGGTGAAATTATCGGTCTTTCTTCGATGGCGGGTGTCATCAGTGCATATCCTAGCCAAGCGAGGGTTGTCTCAGTATTCAATTGTGTTTTTTATTACATACGGCAGGTGGTTTCAACTCTCTAGCGCTGAATGATGTTCATGAATGCATGCAGGGCTATATTTTCCAGTTTACGCGCACGGCATGTTTTGGGTGGCGTTGTTGATCCAAAATGCGAAGGTGATTTCGTGACATGGTCCTCGGTTAGCGTACCTAGCGTATTTGTTGTCCACCAAGTGTATCTCAATGAGTTCAGGCAAAATACCTTTTGCGCTTTCTCTCTCTCTCTCTTCGGTACTTTGTTATTTTCTCTAGTTTGCTCACAGTGTCCTGCAGAATGACTTTTCTACTGAGAGTTTTCACGCGCGTTATGCCTTTATCCCGAAATATACTTATTAAACCGTTAGGGATCTCGTAGTTATAAATGACACCCAGCTCTTGCATGTTTTTACATAAAACCTCCACACTCGTGTTTAGCGTGTCACTCTAAGCCTTCATGTTATTCTCCTCCTTTATCCCTGAACCACGAATTGGCACCTAGCCAAATGCGCTGGGTTCAACATAAGTTATGCAAGTCCCTTTTGGCAGCGTGACCATCTCTTCTTAGGTTGTACAGAAGTCAGTTTAGGAGATGATCTGATAGCCTGAAGTCGTCGTTTTGAAATTTTGGCTGCTGCCCCTGGCAACTTACTGAATTAACGGCTTTTCTAATAACAACTCCTTATTACACCTTCTCAATGACTGACTTCCACGCGGAATGGCTAACAAGATGCATTCAGATGGTATTGTCGGCAAAGTCAAGGGAGACTGGAATGGCCACTTCTGGCTTATCATGCGCCGCCACCCAGTCATACTTAGCCCCAAGTGGTACCCCACTTGAGCCTCGAACTCGCGACCTTTTTGATCAGAGTGAAACGCCTTAACCATTGAACCACGAGCTCGTTGTCTAGCCGGTTTAGGTCAGGGGCTAC